GCTGAGGCTTCGGACCTTGCACTTTCTGGCCCATTGGATATCTCAAAGTGGGTGAGAACTTGGGGCATGTCCGGATACAGGGCAGGGACAGCATCCTCAGTGGCCACAGTCCACGGCTTTTGGACAATAGAACCTTGAGAAGAATGAGGTGGTCCAGGACTGAGGAACAGGGCCCCAGTTTCAGAGGGGACAGCAGAGACCACAGGAGGGGTGTTCTAGCCTACAGTCGCCCAGTGCAGTCTGGCTGAGTCCCCACTGCAGAGCACATCATGGTTTCTGTAGCCTGAGCTGTGGCGGGTGGCTCAGGACAGGGCTGGCTGAGCATCTGCTTCGCCTGACTGAGCCCTTACATCACTCTGCCACGGACGGAAAATTCCATGTGGTCAGAGCCCAGATGCTGATCAGACGTTTCCCATTCTTCTTTTGAATGGCCCTGTGGACAGCAACAGCAGGGCCACCACCGAATGCCATTGGCCTGGTGCCGCATGAACACCTGTCCTCTGGGAATTTGGCCTCAGAGAAGGGCAGAGGTCACACTGGCCACAGTGCTATCCCTGCCAGACTAGCTGGCTCAGGGAGCTGCCCTGGCACCTAGGCACCCTGATGACCATCCTGCATTGCCCGGACAAGGAAAGGCTGCACTGGTCCCCAGGGGCAGATGGCCCAGGGCATCCTGCTGGCCTGTCCTTGTTCAGAGCGTCCCTCCACCTGTGGAGCTACCCTGGTATAGCCGCACAGCCCAGCCCCTAGCCCAGTACATGGCCAGGGAGCCCAGTTCCCAGCTGCCCCATCAGGAGGAACACTTCTGCCACAGAAATCTGCTCAGCCTCTTGGAGCTTGAGGTTGTGACTATAGGACCTGAGTTAAACTTGAAGATGGGCTCAGAGAGGTGGCTGGCTCTCCCCATCCCTGCCTTATTGATGAGCTCAGCAAGGCCTTCCCAGCACCCATCAAGAATCTGTAGGCAGAGCCCAGGGCACAGAGGGTGGGAGTGGGGTCCCTGTTCTTCCCATGAAGAGGAACTTCCTGGAGTAGAGCCAGGCCAGGTGAGAGCACATCTGGCTCCTTGGAGGGCAAAGAGGTGGACCTGACAGCCCTGCCTGTCACCACCTCCAGGGCCTGAGTCAGGGTCCTTGAATGACTCCCCTCTGAGCCCAGGATGTATTTTTATCCTCGAGGACCTGGTCTGGGGGTTTCCAGGACACTCATCTTGCCCTGTTCTTTGACCCCCTCCCCCTGGATCATGGCCAGGCCTGTGCTTCCTCTGCTGGCCTGTTGTCTCTGGCTGGTGTCCCAGTCAGAGCCTGGGGGCTCACAGCGCCACACCCAAATGTGGCAGCATGTGTAGGTGTGAAATGCGCACATGTGTGGACGTGGGCCCAACAGTTGTGTGTGGGCGTGGTTGCGTGTTTGCACCTTCTGCGTGGCACTGGGTCTCCTCCCTGCAGCTCATGGTCTGCAGAGCCAGGCCTGGAAACAGCTCCGCCCCCAGGGGCAGCCTGCTTCTCCTGGGCTCCCTATGCTGGTGGAATTTTTGCTCCCATGGCTCATGCTCACAGTGACCCTACTAAAAAGTGACTTTTTTTTTTTTAGTATTTATTTTTTAGTTCTCGGTGGATACAACATCTTTGTTGGTATGTGGTGCTGAGGATCGAACCCGGGCCGCACACATGCCAGGCGAGCGCGCTACCGCTTGAGCCACATCCCCAGCCCTAAAAAGTGACTTTGCTATCTCCATTTCACACACCAGCACTGGCTGCTACTGAAAGTGCAGACTCACTGGTCCTCCAGCTCCTGTCCCTTCTGCTTCTTCGTGGCTCTTCTCACCTCACAGAAGGCACCAGTGTTTACCCACAGTGGGGTTTAGTGCCAATGTTGCCTCATGCCAAAACGAATCTGCTGGGCCCCTGCGTGTGCCTGGCACCTAGTGGTATTTCCTACAGAGTAGCACCTGCTGGACAGGAGCCCTGTGCTACGGCTGTGCTGTTAGGGGCAGGCTTGCTGCACCCCAGCTCCCGATTGGCCCTGAATGCTTATCTTGCTGTGCCTGTTTTCTCGTCTGATCAGTAGGAGTGTGCAGTCCTGGCGCCACTGAGGAGGTGATCTAGGACCGCAAGCTCTTTGATGTGTCCACCCTATGGCCATCTGAGTGTTGGGCAGCAGACCAGCCTGGGTGGCTGCTAGATGTGAAGCACAGATTCCTCTTTACATTCCGCCTGTGCACACCTGGGTCAGCCCCTGATTGAGAATCTCCCTGATTCCCAATTTCCTCGCCCCTAGAAAGATATTCCTAAGAGAGTGTGTTCCAGGTGCAGGATGGAGCCCAAATAACCCTCCCAGAATGCCCTCAGTGAGTGGGGACAGGAAAGCAGGGGAGAGGACACTCTAGCCAAGTCCCTAAGGATTTCTGTGAGCAAGGGGCAGGTTGCTGTGGCCCCAACACACACCATGAAAAGCCCCCAGGGTGACCCTGCCTGTGGAAGTGCCGGCATCTGTGGACCTGGATGCAGGCCTTTGACCTGTCATGAAGGGTCCCATAGGGCCTGTGTTAGGGTTGACACCTCTGGTCTGTGCCCACTGCATGCAGATGAGGGCAGATTCAGGGATCCCAGGTGACATTGCTGTTCAAGCACCTCATGGTTACTGTCCCACTGGGTGGCAGGGTGGTGCTGGGGTAAGGGGCAGTTAATATTGGGCTTCTTGAGACTGGTCTCTGGTCCTTGGACAGGTGCTTAATTTCCACCAGGGATGCCTCCTGGGGCCTGACTCCACCCCATGTATGATCCTAGGCCAGCCCTCCTGAGCTTTAGAGACCCTTCTGACGTGAGCACCCTGGGTCTTGTGGGATCCCTGTGTTGATGAGGTGGCTCTGGCACCAAGTCCTTGGACTTGCTCATCTCTCCCCCAAAGCCTGCTGGTGTAAGGGTGATGAGCAGCAGCGGGAGCCACTGAGCACTGGGCCAAGAACCAGGAAGTGTCCCCCTCCAACACCTTGCAGCACTCACATTACTCCACACGGGGTGGCCACGGGGCACAGGGCAGTGGAGGAGGAAGGGCTGTGGCCTGTGACTACAGCCTCATGGAAGAACCCTGGTCTTCCCCTGAGAGTTCCCCTATGGCATGTCACAGGCAGAGGCCCAGTCTCCAAAGGTACATCAGCCTCCAGGGCACCAGTATGGCATTGGACTCCAGCAGGGGTTTGGTTCTCGGCCTGCAATGGCTGGTTGTTCAGCCCTTGGTCAGTGTCCCCCTGGCCAGGTGGAAGGTGAGCAGATCTACAGCCAGGTATGGGAACCAGCTTCTGGAAGAGCAGGGAGCGCTATCCTCCTGCTGCCTGGCAACTGTCTTCTAGAAAACAGCCCACTAGATGCCAGGGCTGCTCATCCAGCAGTCCCAGTGCCCTCCAGGCTGAGCCTCTTGTCCCAAGGGGAGCTGGGCAGGGGGTAGGCTCAGGCCCCAGGGAGGCTACAGTTGCCAAAATGATCAGATGTGGGGAGGGAGGGTGTTTCTCTGCAGGAAGAGATAACTGGTGGTCACCCCACACTGACAGCCATTAGTGGACGCCTCCCTGAGTCAGGTGCTTGAGCCTCAGTTCTTGACCCCCACATGAGGTGTGGCCAGGTTTTGGCTGCCACCCCACCCTGGCACAGGAAGTGTGTAGAGGTCCCGTCTTGTGACCAGAAGGGGCTGCATTTGAACAGAGAGGATTCTGGTCCTGGTCCTCTCTCTCTCTCTCTACCTCTCTGAAACATCCTTACTGCTGAAAGCACGTGGCCAGGCAAACTGAAGAGTACAGTGTCCAGGGGAGCAGGGCCTGGCGCCTGCCCCGACCACAAACCGCTCTGGCTGTGCCCATTACCCTCCTTCCTTCCAGTGAGTGCTCAGGAAATGTCTGTGCTGCACTCATAGACTACTTCCTCTGAAGACCCAGGCCTGGGGACAGGCAGGCCCTGGTGTCCTGAGGCCCAGGGAGGCAGCACCGGTGGCATTCCTAGAGCCAGGTGTTAGGTGGGGGCACTGTACGCCGCTGATATAGGTGGGGGTCCACAGGACACACTGGTGTGGTGGCCATGGAGAGTGTGCTGCCAGCCCATCTCATTCAGTGCTTGAGACTCCAGTGCCCACTGCCCAGTCCTGAGTGCAGCTCCTGAGAGCACCAGGGAGGGTGGCCCCTCAGCCCCGTACGTGCTCACCCTTCAAAGCCTCATTGTGAGCAGGGCCAAGCTCAGCTCAGCAGGCCCCCATTTTCCTAACAGTTCCTAAAACAGCACTGGGAGTGGGGAACTCTGGATGGCAAAATGCCTGTCCCTGCCCAGGTGAGGGCACAGGGAGGCGATGGCTATGGGAGGCAGCTGTGCCACCTTCCCACCCACCCCAGGTCCCTCCTAGGACTGAGGAGTCGACCTGATGGGAGGGCACAAACCCTGTCCCAGGAGCAGCCTGTCTGGTGACTTGGATGGAGGCAGTGCTTGCAGCCCAGGGGCCTGTGGGGCCTGTGTTGTCTGGCCCCATGGCTGCCAGGATTTCTCTGCACATTACATCCACTCTTCAGGGGAGGGGCCATCACCCCTTTTACAGAAGAGAAAACCAACTCAGGGAGCTGGAGGGGCCTCCTGGGCCACGTGATCAATCAGCGACGGTGCTGGCCCCATCCGCCCACTAGGTGGCTCTTTGTCACCACGGTCTCTGGCTACACCCCACTCAGAGCCTCTTTTCTAGGCTTAGTCTGGAATCCTCCCTAGATTGGGGCCCAGGAAGCTGACAAGTCCGCCCCAGGAGGGCACAGGGCCTGGAAGCCTCCAGTAGATCCGCCTGGCCCCTCCAAGTGGGGTCAAGTCCTGATTGCAGGGGGCTGGCTGCCTGTGGGAGTCCCTTAGGTGTTGGGAGCCACCATTCCTCACCTAGAAGTTGGGGACAGGCCTCACCTCCACCCAGGGCAGGGGGAAGGTTAAGTGGGAGTCTGCTGGGCCACCCTCCAGTGAGCTTCCTCCCTCCCACAGGCGCTGCTGCTGCTGGGGGCCACGGCCCTGGCCTGCTTGGCGCTGGACCTCCTCTTCCTGCTCTTCTACTCCTTCTGGCTGTGCTGCCGGCGGCGCAAGAGCGACGAGCACCTGGATGCCGACTGCTGCTGCACGGCCTGGTGCGTCATCATCGCCACGCTGGTCTGCAGGTGAGCTGGGCAGGGTCGCGCAGGGACTGTCCAGGGGGGCAGGGGGCTGCGTGCTCATGTCCCTGCCCTCTCCAGTGCGGGCATCGCAGTGGGATTCTACGGCAACGGGGAGACCAGCGATGGTGTCCATCGGGCCACCTACTCGCTCCGTCACGCCAACCGCACAGTGATGGGGGTCCAGGACCGCGTGAGTGGGCTGGGAAGGTGTCTGTGGGCTGTCCACTGGTTCTGTGCATGCCGGTGGGCTGGCGGGATGGAGGGGCAGCTGAGGCCCTGGGGAACCAGGGGCCTGCACCTGGCCTCAGCTCTGGCCATCCTGGTGGCAGGTGTGGGACACGGCAGCGGCCCTGAACCGCACGGCAGAGCCCAGCCTGCAGAGCCTGGAGCGGCAGCTGGCCGGGAAGCCAGAGCCCCTGCGGGCTGTCCAGCGGCTACAGGGCCTGCTGGAGACACTGCTGGGCTACACTGCCACCATCCCCTTTTGGAGGAACCCAGGCGTGTCTCTGGAGGTGCTGGCTGAGCAGGTGGATCTCTACGACTGGTACAGGTATGGCCACATCCTCTTTCCTGCCTGCCCTGTACACCTGGCTCAATCATCACCCTCTTCTGCACCTTGTTCTTAGTACCTAATACTTAAGGCCTTACTGGCAATGATAGGAATCCCCCAAGTGGACAGGCCCTGACCCTGGTCCCTGTATCCTAGGACTGCCTGTGGGTACCAGGCTGCTTGCCTTGTTCTGTCCCTGCTGTCCCCCCTCCCTTGTCCCCTCTATGTGCCTAGCCCACACATAGAGGGGACAAGTGCCCTCTATGTGCCCACAGGTGGCTGGGCTACCTGGGCCTGCTGCTGCTCGATGTCATCATCTGCCTCCTCGTGTTGGTGGGCCTCATTCGCAGCTCCAAGGGCATCCTGGTTGGGTGAGTCTGGGTGGGAGGTGGGCCTCCTGTGGGCTGGCAGGATGGAGGGGCAACTGAGGCCCTCGAGGTACTGTCTCCTCATCAGTCTCCAGTGGTACTCACAAGGCCCTCATCGCTGGCCCGCCTGAAGTGGTCTTCTCCCAGAAAGGCCTACTCTGAGATGTCCCTGTGACTAGCATCCTAGGCTACTCCCCCAGCCCAATTTTGGTGGCTTGCTGTGTTCCTGCTTGGGACAGTATGTCCATGGGGTACCTGTGGCAGGGGGACCCTGGGAGCCACCTGCCCGGGCCCAAGTGCTAAGGGATCCCAGGAGACCAGGAGCAGGAGCCGGGGAGCACGGTGCCTGCTCCCTCCACCCTCAGGTGTTGAAGCAGCCCACTCACCAGGCCGCCTGCCATCCTTGGCTAGGTCGGTGCCGGACCTCTGTCTCTTCTGAAGGACAGAGTGACAGCTTACCCAAAGGGTGACTGTGAGATGCTGTCCCTGTCCCTCTCTGAACAGTTACAAGCCCATCCTGGCTCCTACTTGAGCCTGGTACTAGGAGACTTCACACTGCAGCCCCCTCCCTGGTGCGCACAGGCCTTGGGGGATGAATTCATAGAACATGCCGAACGTCAGTGGTGACAGTGCCCCGAGAAGCATAAAGCCAGGCAGGTGGCCAGGCAGCCTTCAGTGCACATTGTGTCCAAGAAGCCCTGAGAGACAGAATGTCAAAGCAGAGGTCTGAGGAAGGAGGGATGCTTGGGCCCTTGAGTAAGGACAGCTGACAGCCAGCACACAGGCCTGTGTGTGGCCAGCAGCAGAGGCTGGTTAGGCCCCACCTGGCATGGGGCAGGCTGCACCTGTTGGGGTTGGGGCTCCACAGCCCCTCAGGGAGTGGACAGTGGACTGCAGAGCAGCATGAAAGTAGCAGAGGCTTGTCTTCCAGGTAGATGGCCCTAGCAGGGGGACTTGGGGGACAAGAAGGGCAAGGCCCAGGGAGCCACCTAGTCTTAGAGCTAAGCCAGGAGGAGGGTCTGCTCAGGTGGTGGGCAGCTCTTTGTGGGTCAGACTCCAGGTGTGCCCTGGAACCTAGCTCTCCAGTCAGCAGCCCAGCAAGTGGCATGTCCCCTACCCTGTAGCCTGAAGGCTGCTGACCGGCTCTCTTTACCCCAAGGGTCTGCCTGTTGGGGGTACTGGCCCTGGTCATCAGCTGGGGTGCGCTGGGCTTGGAGCTGGCCGTGTCTGTGGTGAGTGGCCAGGGGACCAATATCCCTGTCTGCTGGGCCTAGGTGTGGGGGAGGGGAGGGGAAAGCAGCCACACTCTTCTCCCTTTTCACCTTGCACTGGGTTGCAGGGTCCTGCCCGTGGACACAGGGCACTTTACGCCCCATAGTCACACTCCACTTTGCCCCTAAGAGCCCAGGGTGGGACACAGCTCTCCCTTGAGGCCCAGCTTGGTCACCTTCCTTCATTGCCCACACCCACCCAGGGCTCCAGTGACTTCTGTGTAGACCCTGACACCTACGTGACCAAGATGGTGGAGGAGTACTCAGTGCTGAGTGGGGGTGAGTCTGCGGCTGCCTCAGAGCCTGTCCCTGGGCAGGCTGAGCAGAGCCAGGTGAAGAGGCTGAGGCTTTATTCTCAGGGGAAGCCATTGGGTGGGGGAATGGGAGAGCTTTGAGCTGTGATCAAACATCCTTTTAAATTCTTCAGGCTGCTGGGAAGACATGAGGGCTGGGGGAGGCTGGGGGACTCCTGCAGACAGGAAATGGCAGTGGCTTGAGCAGGTGGGGCCCAGGACAGGGATGAGGGTGCTTGGAAGGCAGGGCTGGCAGGACCTGCTCTGATGGCCCCTGGGCTCCTGGAGGTTTGATGGGAACATAGACCCCCCAGGCCAAGGGAAGGTGCTAGTGTGGCAAGACCTTAGCCCACTTACTGTCACTGCTTCAGAGCAAGGCTGCTGTAGGGACCCCGCTTCCAGTAGAAGGCTTAACCCCAGCCCTGATCTCCCTGGAGACCACAGAGCTTTCTCACACACATGCTATGTACACACGTGTGTAAGCACGCAAGCAGGTATTTGCATGTACACATACATGCACATGCACACACACAGCTGTGTTGCAGACACACATGCACTTGCATAGACATAGCTGCATGAATGGCCACTTCCTCAGCCCACTGCATCCTCTCTCCGCAGACATCCTGCAGTACTACCTGGCCTGCTCACCCCGTGCCACCAACCCTTTCCAGCAGGTGAGAGCCCTGGCTGGCCCTGGGAGGTGGAAGCCTGTGTGGGAGGGGCTGAGCAGGCGCTGGCACCGCAGGCGCTGGGTGGAGCAGCTGAGGGAGTGGCATTAGCGCCACTGGGACTGTTACCCTGGTGCCCCAGGCAAAAGGTTGTGGTGACCTGCTCAGTGCCACCGTATCCTGGGTCTGCTTATAATCCTTGGGTTGCCCTTGACCACCCTTGTGGACTGAGGCAAAGTTGACTGCTCCCCTTCAGGCAGGTGTGGGAGGAGCCTGGGATACCTCTGTAGGGTGACACCTGATAAGGTATCCTGGTTGTGGAATTGAAGGCTCAAAGCACCCCTCACCAAACCCTTCACCTGATGCCTGTCATTGTACCCAGATCACACCACCCTTGGGTGCTAAAAACTATCTGCATTGAGGATGTCCTCCTGTGCCCTCTGGAGGGCCTGAGGCCCCTATCACCATCTAAGGGTCTGTGTTGTCCCTAGGTGTCTAGGCAGCTGGGTGGATCAGGGGTGCCCTGCAGCCTGCAAGGCAGAGCCAGCGTAGCCGCCCACCTGGGAGCCCGCAGGCTGCCCTGGGTGGGAGGGGCAGGAAGGAAGGTGGGTGCCTGCCACTAGAGTTGTGCCTTTCTGTTGAGCAGAAGCTGTCAGGCAGCCACAAGGCACTGGTGGAGATGCAAGATGTTGTGTCTGAGCTTCTGAGAAATGTCCCACGGGAGCACCCGGCCACCAAGGTGAGGGGCTGGGGCCTGTTGTCCCTCTTCCTGCAAAGTTTCCTTTATTCCTCCCTTCCCTTTCCCCTTTGATCCTTTTTCCTGGGGGATTTTTAGTAGGTTTTTAAAATATATATATATTTTTTTTAATTTTAAAAGTTATGCAAACCCAGTTGGGGCTGGGCTCAGCGGTAGTGCATTTGCCTGGCACGTGTGAGGCACTGGGTTTAATTCTCAGCACCACATAGAAATAAATAAATAAGTGTCTATTGACAACTTTAAAAAAAAAAAAGATACATCATCAAAAACAGTAATGCAAACTCTTTGTATCAAAGGTAAGGGGTCAGTCAGGCACAGTGGCGAACACCTGTAATCCCACCAGCTGGGGAGGCTGACACAGGAGGATCTCAAGTTCAAAGCCAGCCTCAGGAACTTAGTGAGACCCTAAGCAACTCAGTGAGACTCTTTCTCTAAATAAAATAGAAAAAGGGCTAACCTAGTGGTTAAGCACCCCTGGGTTTAATCGCTGGTAACCCAAAAAAAAGTGAGGGGTCAAGTGCTGTGTCACGCTTCTGAAATCTCAGCAACTCAGGAGATTGAGATTGGGATTCAGGAGAATCCCAAGGTTGAGGCCAGCCTCAACAACTTAGTGAGACCTTGTCTCAATAAAAAATATAAAGTGTGGGGATGTTGTAAACTGTTCCCTGGGTTCAATCCCAAAAAGGAAATAAAGAAATGGAAGACAAGGAATGTAGCTCAGTGAGAGAGAGCACTTACCCACCGTGACCATGCACAAGGCCCTAGTTCCATCTGAGTACCACCAAAAAAAAAAAAAAAAGAAAAAAGAAAAAGAAACTAGGGGGAGGGTGGTGATGGAAACATGAAGAAAGAAAGTATGACCATTTGGGGACAACATTCTAGAATCTGAGGGGATTGTTGCTTTTTCCTTTAGCATTCTGGGCCCTGAGCATTTGTGTATTAAATATATGTTGCTCAACTCCTGACAAAATCCCAAATCTCCCAGAAGTGTCTGGACTCCCCATGGGGATCCCTACCCCTTCAGGTGCCTCCTTAGCAACTGGGGACAGGAAGGAAAAGTGTTGTCTGTGGGTTTCCAGTGGGAGCAATGGACCCTTCTCTAAGAAAGCTCACACACTCAAAAAGTAAATCATTGTGAACGTGGGCACACCCACCCACGTGCACACACCTTACCCTCTTGATCCCACACTTAATATGGCAGAGAATCCTTTTGGTGCTTCGCCATCGAGTGGCTCATGGAGCACATTAATCTGCTGGGGCCACCGTCACAGCCCCACAGATGGGTGATTGGAACGGCAGACATGTTGCTGAGTCCTGGAGTCTGGAAGTCCTAGGTAGGGTGTGAGCAGGGCCTTCCGAGGGCCAGCTCTCCTGAGGTCGCCCTCCACAGGTTGCAGCTGCTGCTCCTCCTTGTGTCCTCTCCGGGTTGTCACTGTGTGTGTCTGTGTCCTGATCTCTTCACATCAAGAAACCAGGTGTACCGGACTAGGGCCACCCCAGTGGCCTTGTTTCACCTTGATCCCCTCTCTGAAGGCCCTTTTCCAAGTACAATCACATTCTGAGGTGCTGGGGGTCAGAACTTTAGCCCAGGACATCAGGGGACACGGCTCAGCCCATAACAGTAGGTTCTATTTTCCTGAACCCATTTCAGGATCATAGAGCATCCATAGACCTGTCAGAGGAGGCAGCACCCGTGTGCTGGGGAGCCCAGGCCAGCCATGAGTGCTCCCTTCTCCTGTGTGAGGATGGGTCTCTGTACAGAGACCTGCGGGTGCAGATGTGCCACAGAGTCAGGCCCGCTCCATACAGAGACATTTGTTTACTGTTTTCCTCATTTAATAGATCTTGAGGATATTCCCTCGCGTTCCATTATTCCTCAAATGGGGTTTTTAAAAGCAAAGCCAAGCCCCAATCAGTAGTAACATGCAGTGGTTTGTTGTTTTCCCAGCAGTAAGGGAGTCCTGTCTTCATGTCGTGCTGACCACATTGGACAGGTGTCCATGGGTCTCCCTGAGTCCAGAACACAGCTCCAGACTCCAGTTTCACCATTCTTTTTTATTTATTTATTTTTGGGGGGATGACGCTGGGGATTGAACCCAGGGCCTTGTGCATGTGAGACAAGCACTCTACCAACTGAGCTATACCAGCCCTCACCTTTTTTTGGTAGTAGGGACTGAACCCAGGAGCATTTTACCAATGAGCCACATCCCCAGTCCTTTTAATGTTTTGTTTTGAGACGGGGTCTTACTAAGTTGCTTAGGGCCTCGCTAATTTGCTGAGGCTGGCCTCAACTTGTGATTCTCCTGGCTCAGCCTCCCGAGTCACTAGGATTACAGGCGTGCACCACTGCAGCCGGCCAGTTTCAACATTTCTGAAGGCCCCAGGGTCCTCAGGACCTTCACCAAGGCCACAGCTTCAAGCGTGGTCTCCATGGCAGTTTATGGGGTGGAGGTTGACCTGGGGGCTTTGGGAGAGGCATGGCTGGCTTACTGTTGACCTTCTGTGGTGACTTTCCCCAGGACCCCCTGCTCCGCATCCAGGAGGTGCTAAATGGCACAGAGGTGAACCTGCAGCACCTCACTGCCCTGGTGGACTGCCGCAGCCTGCATCTGGTGAGGTGGTCCCTGGGAATGGGTGTAGGCAGCTGGTGGGGGGGAGGGGTGCTGCAGCCGGTGGGTGCTGCTGGGGAGAGGTGGGGGTGGCCCTGGGGAAGAGGGACTTGTGGGTAGTCTGGGCTTCAGGCAGCTTCCCTGTCTCATGCCGTCTCTGTCTTCGTCTGGTCCCTGCCATCCCAGGACTATGTGCAGGCGCTGACGGGCTTCTGCTATGACGGCGTCGAGGGCCTCATCTACCTGGCCCTCTTCTCGTTCGTCACGGCCCTCATGTTCAGCTCCATCGTCTGCAGCGTGCCACACACCTGGCAGCAGAAGAGGTGAGGGCTCAGGGAGGTCCTGGAGCTTGGCTCAGGCCACACAGGACTCTTTAGGAACAAGCCCTCTGGACCCCCAGCTCCCCGTCCCCAGAGGTGAGGAACAAATGCCTCCTCGCCTCACCACACCCTAGGCCTCTGGCCTCTCCAAGGCCTCCAGCTCCCAGGTGAACATCCCCATGTCACTGAAGAACTGAGCCTAGAGGAGCTCCCAGCCTGGACGTCCTGAGCTGGCAGGGAGGAGCACTAGGGTCACTTGGCCCCTTGGGCTTCTTCTACACCCAGCACACTGAACGTTGGCCTCAGAACATCCTATCCAAGCCCCCAGGTGCAGTGTGCAGAGCTGTGGATGGAGGGGCCAGCTTTGTGGTCAGCTTCTACATGGGGTAGTCCAGGTGGCTGTGGCCTTGTGCTGGGTGACTAGGATGGAAGGCAGCTCTCGCAGGGCTGCTGTGTCTTTTGAAGTGGGTGTCCTGGTGACCTGAAGTCAGAACTGGCTTGACTGGGGTGTGAGAGTTCTGGGCTCCTTCCCTTGCTGAGGCCCCTCAGTCCATCCCCAGACCTTCTGGTCCCTCCCATTGGGGCAGTGGCTGCTGCTTGACAGCCCAGCTTCAATGGCTCAGCTCAGATTACTGCCATTTGCCTGGATTTCTGTTGTTTCCCCTTGTGATGGTGATGGTGATAGAGGTGGTGATGAAGATGGTGGTAGTGATGATGATGGTGGTGGTGGTGGTGATGGTGATGAAAGTGGTAATGGTGGTTGTGATGATGGTGGTGGTGGTGGTGATGGAGGTGGTAATGGTTGTGGTGGTGATGGTGATGTTTGGTGGTGCTGGTGGGGTGATGGTGATGGTGATATGGTTGTGGTAATGATGGGGACAGTGATGAATGAAGGTGGCTGTGATAATAAAGTTTGTAGCTGTAGTGGAGTGGCCAGGAGAACAACCCTGAAACCCCATGGCTGGATGCAGATCCTTGCTTGTCATGTGACAAGTCACCTAACCACCCTGGGCCTCAGCATCCCTAAGCATAAAAAGGGAGTTGTAAGAGGACACCCTGAAGGGTCAGGTGAGCATTGGTTGGGCCCCACCCGGGGCATAGCTGGTGGACACCACTCAACAGCAGCTCCACTGCCCCACCCTGAACTGCTCACCATCCAGTAGCTCCCCTACCCAGCTTCCCCCACGGGGACCTGCACCTTCTTTTAATAAGCAGGCAGCCCTTTATGGGCTGTGCAGCAGGGCCTGGCACTCACGTGACGAGGTCTTTTAACACCAACAAAGAACAGCTGAGGCTCAGAGCCAGTTAAGAGGCCTCAGGGTCAGCAGAATGTATGTGGCATAGTCAGGATTGGATACAGATGTCTGCACCAGACCCAGCCCCCACAGGTCTGGTGGCAGTTCCCTCCTGCTGGGCCTGAGCCTGTGCTGGGTGTCCCTTCCCGCAGAGGTCCCGATGAGGATGGGGAGGAGGAGGCCGCCCCAGGGCCACGGCAAGCACATGACAGCCTCTACCGCGTGCACATGCCCAGTTTGTACAGCTGTGGCAGCAGCTATGGCAGTGAGACCAGCATCCCGGCTGCGGCCCACACCGTCAGCAACGCCCCGGTCACTGAGTACATGTGAGTGTGGGGGGCGGGGTGGGGTCAGCCCAGGCAGGTCAGGCAGACTCTGAGGCACATGCTTGTTTGAGTCCATGGGGTGGCGGGCACATCAGCTGCAGCTTGGAGAGTGGATCCATCTTGGGACTTGCTGGCAAGAAAGGGGAGGGTGGTGGGGACAGCTGCAGGAAAGGGTTACAGCAGGGTGGGCGCCCTGGGCTTCAGGTGGAGCAGCCTGACATTGAGTGCCTCCTGCCCACAGTGAACCTGGTCAAGGGGCCATGAGAAGGTCACATAGTCAGGTGGAGGGTCTGTTTCTAGGCCAAGGGCCTGTCTTCATGGTGGGCAGGCAGCCTGATGGGAGGCAGGCTCTGGCTGGGCTGTGGAGGCAGGAGGGCACAATGGGCCCCCTGAGCCTATCATTGTCTGGGGTTACAGCGCCTCAGCAAGGACAGAGGTGCCCACCCCTGTGAAAGTCATCATGGAAGTCAGGCCGGACAGAATCGAGTGTGCACAGGCCTGGACCTAGGACCACTGTGACCAGTGGCCACTCACAGCCTCTCTCTCCTCACCCCTCAGGAGCCAGAATGCCAATTTCCAGAACCCCCGTTGTGAGAACACCCCCCTCATTGGGCGCGAGTCCCCACCGCCCTCAGTAAGTCTCAGGGCAGGGTGGGGGGACCTTGGCCTTGGTGCTCTGGTGTGGTTCTCATGGGCAGCATGAGCTCTGGGGGCAGCTGTGAGCCTTTAGTGCTGGGGGCCTTGGGGTTCTTCCCAGCTGGGACCCCTCCAGTGGATGGGACTGGGTGGGCCCGTCAGCTCCTACCCACCATGAAGTGCCTCACAGTCCGGGTGGCCCTCAGGGGCCAGCAGCCCAGCAGGTCAGCTCCTGGCTCTCTCTTGGGGAAGGCAGGCATGTAGCAAGGTGTGACCCAACTGTGTTCCCTGAGCTGCACTGCCCTGGCCCTGGTGCCCCAGGACCAGCAGGGCTACTGTCCCTTTCTCGGGCCCAGCCTTGCTTCCTCTCCTCCCTTCCTCTCCTGGTGTTCAGCGGTCTTGACCCCGGGCTGTCCTAGTCTGGGCCTGGTGTTCCTTCTGATCATGGAAGTGAAACATGGACACAAAGGGACAGGGTGATTTGGTGCCAGAGGAAAGGAGCTGATGGAGAGGCTGGGGGCCCAGGCCTTCCTGGAGGGGATGGGCTGTGCGACCAGGGCTGGAGAGGCTGAAGGCCACTGTTTTCAGAAACGCTCACCTGTCAGGAGTCCCTGTTGTCCTGTAGTCCATAGCACAGCAGGGCCTGGGTTGCCCAGGACCTGGACCAGGGGCTGTAAGCCCAGAGGCCATCCCCAGCTGCTGGCCTCTTACGTTCCGCTTAGCTGTCCTCACCTGGCCCCACTGGCCCCACAGCCTGCTCCAGGCCAGCTGCGCCCTGGCGTTGAGGATACCCCCTCTCTCTCTCTCTCTCCTGCACCCTCCCACCCTGGGCCCTCCTAGCGCTATCTGGCTGCCCTGGACTCTGGCAGCCACGCGGGCTGGCAGTTTAAGCCCATGGACAGTGCCCGAACGCTGTGGTAGCTGTGCCCTCTGAGTGACAGGTACTGACCACCCTGTCCCCCACCCGCACGGCCACCCGCCTGCGCCTCCATGCCTCCTGCCCTTCTCTCACCACCACCCTCCCCCAACACTGGCCTTGGGCTCCACTGCTCCAGGACCAGCTGTGGGTGGCACAGTCCAGCCAGAGACCTCAACTGCTGGCCCCCCGTTCTGCCGGTCTTACAGTGGGCAGTGAGCCCCAGTCCAGGCATCCCCTGCCCACCCCCAAGCCCAGCCACCCAGCCTTTGGGGACTCTGCCACCAGCTAAGATTGGCCCCAGCCCCTCCTGTCACCTCACAGTGAGGGAAGCATCTACCCAGGCCCCTTTGTGCACCTGGACTTGAGAGCAGAGCTTGGCCCGTGGTGTGACCCTGGTGCACACCGTGTATGCAGACAAGCATGCGAGCTTCCCCTGCTGTTCCCGGCAGCAGTACAGGCGCCTGCTTGGGCTTCTTCTGGGGTCTGGGATGCCACCCACTCTCCCATCCCACCACCTGTCCCTGCTGCATGACCATGGAATGACATGGCTCCCAGTGCCGCTGCTCCTCCTCCCCTGCTCCGTGGTCACCTCCCAGGCTGCTCGTAACCTTCTAGGTACTCCAGCAGGGCTCTAGGGACCCAGGGAGCATTTCTCTGTGGTTTGGGGGCCATGAGGACCACCCAGAGTCCCCAGAGCCCATTTAGGGGTCGGTGGAGTCAGCCCAGGCCTCCTTAGCACTGGTGACCTTTGCCCCTGCCGTGGGCTCCAAGCCCTGCCCACACGTGTTCCTCCTGAGCACATGTGCCACACGCACACACGTGCTATTTGAGGCCGCCATGCTCTGGTTGGGTGAGGGTGGCCAAGTTCTGTAGGCCATGTGCAGAGCCAGTTGTCCCTGTCCCTGACTCTGAGACCAGAGAAGCCCACAGTTGGACTCCTTCCTGAGTGGGCAGCAGCAGCGCTCCAGCCTGGGAGTCCCTCCTTCCCTGGGTGACGGGGCAGAGCAGCCATGGGCTGGAGGCTGGGCCTTGCCAGCTGTGAGCTGGCTCAGGAGGACCCACCTGCGCAGACCTCGGCCTGCGTGTGTGTGGCCTCCAGGTTCTGGGTTGCCGAGTGCTCTGGCTCCTAGGAGTGGTCGAGTTCTGCCTGACCAGATGCCCAAATGCCAGCAGCGTGGGCAGTGATGAGCTGAACGTGATCATCCGGTCAAGGGAGGGGACTGCCCTTGGGGGCCACCAACTCCCTCAGCCGCATCCAGTCCTGGGTCCAGGCCCCCGGCCCCTTCCTTAGGCTCTGCCAGCTGTGCATTGTGCTCCCACCTGCCTCCCAAGGGCCGGCTCTGGCTCATCCTGCTGAGGACCACGCCGAGGAGGCCTCTGGCTGCCCTGGCCCGCCTGGGACCCTGCTGACCTCCCTCCCCCTCCCTCTCTCCTCCAGTACACCTCCAGCATGAGAGCCAAATACCTCGCCACGAGCCAGCCTCGCCCTGACTCCAGCGGCAGCGGGCACTAGACTGCGCACCGGTCAGCCACCTGCCCCACGTGCCAATCGCCCCACCCCTCCTGTGCCAGCACTGCTACTTCCACCTGTGGCCGCCTGCCGGACCCTCCGCATGCCACTCCAGGCCAGCCTGGGCACATCTGTAGGCCCCTCATCCCTCCTCTCCCTTCCCCACAGGGGGCACAGAGGTGCCCGGCATGAGCTCGGGGCAGGTTGAGACACAGGGCTATGGGCCGATGCCCCCGACTTGGGACACGTATCTGGACAGATGCCGCCACCAACACCTGGCCCTGCCTGGCCACCCACTCCCCTATCCTTCTGCCTTCTTGGATTCACTGAGCCCAGGTGCTTCTGTCCCAATGTGCTCCATCTGCAGGTGGCTCTCCAGACTGTCTGCTGCCCTGTCCCTCGAGCGCTGGCCTCCCCAGCCCCTCCTCCCTCCGCAGCTCTGAGCTTGTTGTGGGGCCTCCCTTGCTTCTGCCCTCGCTTCTGTGGATCAATTCTTAGTTCACAGGCACAACAGGAGCCCTCTGTGCCTGGCATCTCTGCCACTGAGGGACAGGTGACCTTCGCAGGTGGGCCCTCCCATGGCCTTCCACCACGTCTGTGGCACCTGCCTTCTCTCATCCACGCAGCTCACCTGACCATATCCTCCCCTCTGCTGGTGGCCAGAGCCTCCAGGGAGGCCCTTCCTCTGCCTCCCGCCCAGCATTGCTTTCTCCCCCAGCACCCACCCAGCTCTCCACGGACAGCAGGTGCCATGCAGAGCCTGGGTCGCTGGCCTCCAGTGCTGGCCACCCTCTTGGTGCCAAACCCCCTCCCCCATCCCAAAGACTTGGCAGCTCCATCCGGTTTGGGTTTTGCACTAACCACGTTTATCATCTCCAGGGCAGGCTGAGTGGGCGCTGCCCCGTTCCCTCTCCTGGTTCCACTTCCATCCAGGACAGCACAGTGTCTCCGGGGCCCAGCCCCGGGGGCTGGACCTTAGCTGGCTGTGAACATGCCCACAGTCCCTGCTGCCCCTCCTGGGACTAACCACTAACCTCACTCCCAGCCTCTTGGATGCCCTGGCTGCCCAGAGCCAGTGTGCGTGACCCAAGTCAAGCCTGGGGCCAAGGGCCAGGACAGCTGGCTGGGAGCCAGGGCTGGAGGAGCTGTTTTCTCCCCTGGGTGCTGCTGGGGATGTGCCGCAGAATGACAGCAGCCCCAAGGGCCTGGAGACCCCTCCCTGGGCAGGAGGATGGCTCTCGGGATCAAATACCCCATGGACTTCGGGCTGAGGTCCCAGTGGCCTCAGTCTCCCTACCTGTGAAGTGGGAACAAGGCTTCCCTGAGGTGCTTTTGGCTTTTAGTGTATGATGTTTGCTGTGCTTCCTGCGTGGGGTGGGGGTGGAGCCTCCCCAGATCAGGACGAGGAGGCTCTGCCCTGCTCGGCCCAGCCCACCCCAGATGGCATGGTCCAGTGCAGGCTCTGACCTGTGTGCCAAGGCCAAGGGCAGCCAGGAGGCTGCCGGACAGTGTGTGCAGGGGCTGAGGTTGGAGGCCCTGCAGTGGAGGTGGTTTACAGACCTATGGTTCTCGGGGAGTGGAGCTCAGGGCAGCTTCTGGCTCCAGAATGTCCTCACCCCTCTCTGGGCGAGGCCCCCCCACCCTGCCCTTCCTTCCCGATCCGTTTTTGTGCTGGTGTCTGGGACCAAAAGTGGAGAGGGGCCGGGGAGTCAGTGGGCCTATGGCCCCAAGCCTGGGCATCTGAGCCCCCCAGGCATGACCAAACCTCAATGGAGGGGACTCTGTCTCTGGCCCCAGTTGGCCGCACTGGGATCCGGTGGGGCCACCAAGGTGTGGCCACAGCCAACTTGCCCAGTCTTTCCTCTGGGCCTGACCTGCCGGGTTGCGTCCTGGCCACAGGTCCACAGGGAGGTGCTGCACCCCTTGCCTGGGTGCCACTGTGTGTTCTGGGGCCACTTGGAAGCACAAATGCTGCCCCAAGGTGAATGCGTAGCATGAGCGGTGGGCGCTGCCCGGACGTGGCTGTGAACCTGTGCTGTCTTGGGAGTCCTGACCGTTGTGTGCGTGTGCTGTCCGTGACTCACTCACCAAGGCTGAAGAAGGGAAGGGGAAGTCGACAGGGGCTCCCGCCCGGCCTCAGCTGAGGGAGGCCGGGCTCCTCTCTCGGTTTTATTTTGTTCTGAGTTTTTGGTGCCACGTTCCTGACAACCCCCATCCCAGCGACTTCCACACCACCCGGGGTACCAGGCCAGGACCTGCTGCCTGGCCGGCTGCTATACCCACCCTGCCCCAGGGTCCTGCACCCTGTGGAGGCAGCAAGGCCACCAGCCAGGCCCCAGGTCTCTGGCCAGAGGAGCAGGAGGGATTTAGCTGGGACAAGAGACATGCCCATGGGACCCCTCGCAGGCCTCTCTGCCCTCCCCATGGCCAGGCAGGGTCTGGGTAGTGGACTCCTGGTTAGGAGCAGGCCCTGCCCCTCTCCCCTGGCGCCCCCTGCCCCCATCGCACTATGCAATTCCAGTTCCAAGCACCATCGCCCTCCCCGCCGGTCCCAGCTCTGCCCAGCCCAAGGGGGTGGTCAGTTGGTAGCCTCTGGGCCCCAGGTGACCAGGGCCTTTAGTGTGGGATCTTTTTTTATGTTTAACCATAATGGTTGTATACCATATCCCTTTATATTTGTTATACTATAAATATATATATGATTTTGTTTTACCTCTTGATTTCTCCCTCCTGCCCACCTGCATCTCCCCCGCCCCCGCCCATGTGAACTAACGTCCGCGCTGACCAGCCCTGCGCTCCCCCAGCCTCTGTAGGGCCATGGCTGTGTGTATTGTCGCTGTGTTTTCGTTTTTTAAAACTGGGTTTGGGGTTTGATTTTTATTTCTTTGGGGACTTTATTTTTCTGGCAAATACTAAAAATCTTGTCGATGTAATTTCTGTGGTTTCTATTCAGCTTGGGTTTCATGTTTTAAAATAAACAAATTTTAAAAGACGGGCCTCTTTTCCTGAGCTGCTCTGGAGGGTCCCAGCTCCAGGCTCTGCTGGGGAGTCCAGGTGCTGACTGTGCTGCGCTGGGGTGGGAGGTGTGGGGGCCTCTGGGGCTGGATGAGGACTGAACAGCAGTAGTCCAGGCCAGAGGGTGTGGGGAGGGGACAGGGTTAGCTCCACTCTTCATTCGGGCAGGTCCTGGCTGGTGGCTGTTGGGGCCCAGCTGCCTGGAAGTGTCTGGCCTGCAGAGCAAATGTGCAGGGGACAGAGGATGTGGCTGAAAATCTGGCTCTGCAGGTCATGGGATTGGGGAGTGTTATGAGGCCCCCCAGCAAAAGTGACCGTGCCTGGGCCAGCACAGACAGGGTGGAGGGTCCCTAGGGAACAGGCTGGATCCAGGTGGATCCCCATGGCACTCATTCCTCCTCCTGCTGGGACTTCCTGCTGGCAGGTCCTGGCGTGTCTGGGGGTCTGCACCGTCTCCGTGGATCCCTCACCGACTGAGGGTGGGAATGAGCTTTCCTGGTTTCCTCAAGGAGCAGGCTTGGGGTAGCAAAGTGGTTGCCTGGGGCCACCTGTCGAGTAGCCCTGTGAGCAACACCCCCCACCCCGCAGGGAGGCTTCAGGAAACACAGGTGGCAGAGGCCAGTGGAAGGCGTCCTTGGCTCCCAGCTCTTGGCACCTGAGGGAGGCTGCCCAGCGGAGAGCTGCTCCTCCATCCCCGCAAACACCAGGAGCCCTGCCCAGCACTCTGCTCCAGGGAACGGACAGGGGTGCTCTGGGGAGAAATGCTGAGCCACCAGGGTGGAGGCATTCATGACTCTGGTGTCACGTGACAAGGAGAGTGACCTGGAGACATTCAGGTTTGGAGGCCCCAAAGACATGACGGCCCCAGGCTTGGAGTGAGAGCCAGGGATGAGGACAGACCCCAGGCACGTCTTGCACCCTGGGCCCTCAGCCCCTGTCTCAGGGAAGGTAAAAATCAGCATCAGGTTTCCTAACTGGGAAAGGCACATCCCAGGGCAGCAGCCCCAGCCATGTTAGGCCAGGGCACTGCGCTGACTAGGCATGGTACAGCCAAGGTCAAGGAGCTCAGTCCTGGACAGCTGATACATAGAAGATGGCCATTGGTGGGTAGCCAAACATGTGAGACGGCCTGGGTGAAGGGGTGGAAGGTGGGTATACAGGTATGATTTTCAAAACTCAGGAAGGACCTTCCTGAAGGAGCCACCATGGAGAAGAGACTATAGATCAGAATGTATGTGGTTCTCGCTGCTGGTGTAACAAATTTACTGCAAACTCACTTGACTTCAAACATGAGTGTTATCTTAACAGTTCTGAAGGTCAGAGCCTACCTGGGCTACTTCGGTTTTTTAAAATTTACTTTTCTATACCAGGGATTGAACCCAGGGATACTTAATCACTAAGCCACATCCCCAGCCCCCCCCTTTTTTTTTTCTTATTTACAGATAGGGTCCTGCTAAGTTGCTTAGGGCTTCACTAAGATGCTTGAGGCTAGCTTTGAACCTGCAATCATCCGCCCTAGCCTTCCAAACTGCTGGGATTACAGGCATGTACCACTGCACCTGGCCTTCCCTGGGCTTTTAAGCCAAGTGTCCACAGCCCTGTATTCTTGCTGGGGCTCTAGGAGAGCACCTCTCCTGCCCTTTCCAGATCATAAAGTACACCACATGCAGGGTCGCTCCCCTCCCTCCATCCACAAGGTCAGCAGCACCTGCAGATCTCGCTCCAATACTGGCCTCCTGCCTCCTTCTCCTGAGGACCCTTGTGATGACATCCAGCCTACCTAGATAACACAGAGTCATCTCATCTGGTTCCCTTTTGCCATGTAAAATATATTCACAGCTGGGCACAGTGGTGCATGCCTATGATCCCAGCAGCTAAGGAGGCTAAGAAAGGAGGATCACAAGTTCAAAGCCAGCCTCAGCAACAGTGAGGCCCTAAGCAATTCAGTGAGACCTTGTCTCTAAATAAAATACAAAATAGGGCTGGGGGTGTGGCTCAATGGTTGAGTGCCCCTGAGTTCAATCCTGGGTACCCCCCGCCAAGATCATATTCTCAGATTCTGGGTTTAGGATGTGGACATCTCTCACCATGGAATCTAACCTTGAGGCAATGTGAGGAAAGAGGGTTCCAGGCAGACAGCAGTCAGAGCAAAGGCCCTGAGGCAGACAGACACCTTCCTGGTGGTTCAAGCTAGATGGTAAAGTGGCTGGAGTAGAGGGAGCAAGGAGAGTGTGGTCAGAGTGGGGGGATCTCAAAAGGTCTTGTGGGCTGCATAAGGCCTGGGACATTTTTCCTGAGTGAGGTGGGAGCCATGGAGGGTCTAAGCAGAGTGAGTTGATCTAACATTCATCTTAACTGGAGTATTAACTGTTCATTTTAACATTCATTCTAACTCTAGCTGCTGAGTTGGGAAGGGGACAAGAACAGAAACCAGACACCAATTAGGAGGCTGCTGCCACGATGCAGGCACAAGTGAATGGGAGCTGGGGCCCCATGGTGTAGGTTCCAGAAGGTGCCACCCACAGCCCTTCCTGATGAGTCTGTGTGGGATTTGGATTGAGCATGGTCATAAATTGAGGTGGGACAACTGGGAAGGGCACAGATTTGGGTAGGAGGGTGGTCAGAGGTCCAGTCTGAACATGTTGACCCTGGGATGTCCTCCTGACATCAAGGGTTTAGGGAGGTGGTGACATGTGCCAGTAGGGCCCTGGGCAAAGCACTGGGCTGGAGGTGGCCGATTGGAGTCTCTGGCACAGGTACTATTTGAAGCCAATCAACCTGGGCGAGATCCCTGAGGGAGTGGGGAGAGGGGACAGAAGGACCAAGGACTGGGCAAGTGTCCAGCAGGGGGCGCTGGGTCAGGTCTGCAAGAAGAAGGGGCCACCAGCCAAAGGGGCTTAGGGGTAACATAACAGCGGAAAGAATCTCAGCCACCCGCAGACAGCATGTTGAGGGGGGAGGAAGAACCCCATCAATGTTTACCAGGACTGGACCCTGATCAGCAGATTCAGTGACCTGGATGCCACATATGGCCTGGACAAGACAGGGCTGGTGAAGCCCAGGGGTTGGTTCAGGACAGCTCAGGGAAGGAGGAACTGGAAGCGGCCAGGACTCACAGGAGTTCAGCTGCAAAGCAGCCAAACAGCCGGAGAGCAGGAGGCAGGTGGTCCAGGAAAGTGTCGTGTGTGCATACGTGAGAGTGTTTCAAGATGGAGACAGCCGCAGAGAGAGGAAGGTGAAGGCAGAGGGACTTGGTGGAGGGGGTTCTTGAGAGGCAGGGGGTTGGGATTCAGGGCGGGTCCAGGGCCTGCCAGTCAGGGTGATGCAGGCACATGGGGGCGGGGCACGAAAGAGGAAGCAAGATTGTCAGAGAGCCAGGTTGGGAGAGGGACACGTGGGGGTGGCCTTGAGGTCCCCCTGAGGTTCAAAATCTGGAACTGAAAGTGAGACCAGGCCAGGACACAGCTGCCTGGAGAAGATGACAGGCCAGGTGTAAACAGGGCCCAGGTGCAGGGCTGGCCCAGAGCACATGAAGCTGACCTCATGGACTATCTGGGGCTAAGGGACGGGGCTCTCGTTTTGTCTGGGCTCCTCCTGAAGACTACCATGTGTGTCTTATGCTGGCCCTGGGCTCAGAACTGGGGTCAGCAGGGCTCTACCCTCCAAAGACACTGAAAAAGGCTGAGACTGGAGCGGGCAGATGGGCCTTGGGTGGCAGCAGGACCAGCCAATCAGTCTGACAGGAGTTGAAGATGGAGCCTGCCATGCTTGACTGAGAAATTTCAGCTGGATGAGGATGCGCCCTCAACAGGGTTAGAGGAGGTAGAGGAATCCCTGGAGTCAGGGTATCAAAGGGAAAACTGGGTTTAGGGAGGTGGTGATATGTGCCACTTGGGCCCTGGGCACAACTGGAGGTGGAGGCAGAGCTGGAGGCTGAAGATCATGGCTATGGAGCATGTAAAGCATGAAGAGTAGCCATCCTTCAAGGAGGGGGAGGGCATGGGGTTGTGGGAAGGACAGGGAATACCGAGGTCTTACGAATGCACATGGACTGTGGGCAGTGGTCCAAGCCTGTAATCCCAGTGACTTGGGAGGCTGAGGCAGGAGGATCCTAAGTTCGAGGCCAACCTTAGCAACTTAGCAAGACTCTGTCTCAAAATAAAAAGGGCTGAGGATGGAGATCAGTGGCAGAGAACCTCTGAGTTCAACCCCCAGTACCAACCTCTACGCCCCTCCCAAAAATGGACATGGGATCAGTGCAGAAAACAGTAGTCAGGGACAGGAGCCAGGATCTCCCAGGAGCAAGTGAGCCTGTGAGTACCCCTGGGGGCATCAGGTGAGAAGCCCCCAGATGGGGTTTTGCAGGGGTTGCACTGTGGGGCTGCGCTGAGGGAAAGGATGGGAGGGTCTGGGCCTCACAGTGAGAGCAGCTCCAGGGGGAGATGCATGGATGCAAGTGTCCAGCAGGGGGCGCTGGGTCCTTGGAGGAGGAGAGACAGGCGGACCTCCGCGAGTTCCTGGCGAGCGGCAGAGAATCGCCACCTCCGCAGTACTCAAGGGTTCTGGTGTGACTCACTTGTCACAGAGTTGGCCACTGCACTTCACACTTGCAAAACCCCACCCCAGAGACCAGTCGCCAAAGTGGCAGGAGTGGGGCCTGGGGCTTGCTCCATCTGCTGGGTCCAGCCTGCCACTGGACACTACCCGCCTCGCACGAATCAGATGCTGGTGAAGAAGTGAGCCGAAGCTTCAGTGGGAACCCTTCCTTCCCCTTGGGCTTCACCCCTAGATCCAGGCGCATGTCCCAGGAAAGGTGGGATAGAAACCACCAGCTGTTGCCACCAGATGGCACCCAAGCACTGTGATGGGAGACGGGAGGTCCACTTGTAGTTTCTTGGGGATAGTGGCCAGGGAGGAGCACCCACTACTCTGAGCCCTCAGACCAGCAGGACCAATCAGTCTGACAGACAAAGACAG